CACGTTTGCCTGAGGAGCAGAAGGTGATCCTGGAGCAGCCCTGCACTGCCCAGCATGAGGCCAGCAGCTCCCACCGCCTCTGGGCAGCGCAGGTCTGAGTCTGCAGACAGAGGAGAACAGGAGGGAACCGGGGAAATGGCACCTTCCTGGGACCGGGGATGCACAGATCTTCCCCGTAAACCCTGCATCCCCTGGCAGAGCCTGGTGTAGCCGTAGGACCCAGCTGCACCCAGTGCTCGTGGTGCTGGGAGCAGCCAGGTCTGCCAAGGGCAGCCGTGTAGCAGAGCTCTGTCTGCACACATATGTAGGGAGGGCTTTTTGTGTCCCGTTCCCCCCCCCCCCCCCCAGCTCCTGCTGGGACCTACGTGAGAGCCTTCCCGTTCTGGAAGTAATTCTTAGCTTCTTTTGCATTTCTGTCTGGAAGTATTTACGGCCCGTTTATTAGCGGTTGTTGCCTTGCCAGCTTTGTGACTTCATTTCAGTTCTTCCTGTAATGGTCTGGTGCATTCAGCGGCAGAATTTGGGCTCCAGTGTGCCAGGCTGTGCTCTTGAACCCCTTCCAGCTTGCCGGTCCCCAGCATCCCCGCAGCCCTCCCTGCACATCCCTGGTCCCTGGAGCCTATCTTTGCCACAGGCTGGTTCCCAGATGCAGCTTCACATGTTGGTCAGTGCTGTCTAATTCCTCAACCTACCCTGTATTCTTTTCCCTACAAAAATTTTACGTGCGCTGGTGCGTCAGCGTAGAACCTAGTCATCAGGTTTTTTATTAAAAGGTGCCAGTGTGCCACAGTAAGAATGCAATTATTCTGACTGGCTCTGCTAAACCCCCAGCCCAAGCCCAGCTACGTGGGAGGGAGAGTCAGAGCAAGTCCACGCGTGGGCAAAGGGCAGGGGCAGGCAGTGGAAGAAATTGCTTGAGGAGCAGAAGACCACCCAGTGCTATGTGAAGTCAGGGGCCAGCAGGTTGTGGACGCTTTGGTCCGGGCGTGCTCCCAAGGCAGGGGCCATTCTCCACACAGATACTGTTTCATCAGCAATTACAGGAAGCCCAGACGATCAGGATGATCATCTGCCACGGCAGGGAACCTGCGGCAGAGTGAGCCGAAAGGCAGAGGGAGTGCGTGACTTCTGGCTTTCAGCCGGACAGACTTTTCTGCAAACAGAACTGACTACAGAAAGCAAATATTTCAGTGATGCCAGCTCCAGGGCAGCCACCTTGTTGGTTTACGTGATCCCGGCACACTCAAACAGCTGCTGTCCCTTCTTTGAGATGCCACCTAATCCAGGATGAGTCCCCAGCAGTAACCATCAGCAAAAAAATAGAGAAAGCCGGGGTCTCCACTCACTACAAGAATAAATATTGACACTGGGCATTGCTAGGGAGTCTAGATGCTTCCATCATTTCCTGAAGTCCCGTGGAAGCCATGTTTAATTTATAAATGCAAAGCAGGGATTTTTCTTGCAACGTTCAGTCTGCACCACTGCCCTGTGCTCTTCTTCTGAGCACGTCTCCTCATGGTGACATCCCCTTTTTGGTGCAATTCATACTGCTGTGCTGGAGGCCACAGATCTGTTTGGAATAGCTGAGTCTCTTATTCTGGAGCCTCAGAAAGGGATTGTTTAAAGCAAGTTGTATAAAAGAGACTCGCTTCCCCGACATGTGAGGCAGTTAAGAGGCTTTTACAAGTCATTGATTTTTCATGCCACTGGCAATTTCAAAACCATCCCTTTGGATCAAATGAGACATGCTGTTCGATACCAAATGGTCTGTTCATAGCTGGAGTCTTTTAGTTTTTATTTTGTTGAATAGAAAACTACTTCTAAACATGGAGTTGAATTGCAAAGTTGAAAGCTTTTATTCCGAACTATCAGATCCCAGTATTTTAATATAGGAAGGCAATGGACTGCTTGACAGAACCAATTTAGCACAGTTGGGATGGATGTATCAAATCTATGTTAACCAAAAAGGATTTGGCCCATTTTTTGGACTTAGGTCAGGAAATTATCCTTGCCAACTGTTTTGTCACTTGCAATGAGGTGTTTCAGCAACGGTGCTGCTCTTCCTTTATTTTCTTAAACAAAAGTGGATTTTTACAGAAGTGCTTTATAATTTCTGCATGGACCCACCCAGTATATCTATCAGAGGCCAAGGACCCATCCCAGGGGCTTCTCTGCTCTTTGAAATCTCTTATTCAGCCTGGAAGCACCTTTAGAAGTTTGCCTTCCCTGGGCTCTAGCTCTTTTATTAATCTTGCCCTGTAGAAGAGCTGTGAGGCTCTGGGACCTGGCCAGGCTCTTGGAGGAGGAGGAACCTCCTGTGAGATGTTTCTGATCACACAGTGACTCCAAGAGTCACTCACCCAACTGACAAATCCCCCAAAATCTCATCCGTGAGTAAACTGGACAAGTCATCAGTGCTTCCAGATGCAGTTGTAATGGGGAAGGCAGCCAAGCAAACGGGAAAAAATCTGTGTGGCTTTGCCAGTTGCTGGGCAGGGGGGAGTCTTGCTGCCCATACCAGGGGGGGTCCGAGGAAAGGTGGGCACAGCAGTGGGGGGCTGAGCCCAGCCAGGAGCTGTGCCCAGCTGCAGTGCTTGGGGACAGCTTGGTGCACAGGGGTTTGCCAGGGCACCCTCCCACTTGTGCGCGGGGCTTGCTGGTGAGTGGGTCTGGTTTTGTTCTGCCCATCCATGAGCTTGTCATCACCTTATGTAGGAGGTTTTTTGCAGCTTAACCCCCTTTGCAGAACAGTTAGTAAGATACAAATCGCCCGCCTGTCCCTGCCCCGAGCTCAAGTCTGCGAGGCTCCGGTCCAGCACGTGCGGTGATTTGCCCTGTTTCCCACAGCTTGCTGGGGCACTGAGACAGCTACAGCCGGTGCAGTCAGCACAAGCCACGGCTGAGCACATGCAGAGGTGTGCTCTGAGCCCCCACTCACCCCCACGGGCAGTGCCTCCACTCAGCAGTGCTGGAACCGGGCTTGGATCCTCCCCAGCTTGCCTTCAACCCATCTCCTCCTCCAGAAGCAGCACGGGGACCAGGGGGAGGAACCCAGGACGAGCATCATGTACCAGCACAAGGAGAAAAAAAGAAAAGTGTCTACGGTTTGCAAAGGGAGCTGGTTTGGGCAGGAAGGCAGCCGGGCAGGTGCTTTGCAGCAGGAGCCACACACGCTGCTCCCCATGGGTGCTCCGGGCCATCGCGGAGCCCTAGTGTTGCAAATCCCAACTACGCTTTTTTCCAACTTAATTTTCTCAGGAACTGACCCAGTTCTAGCACTTGAGAACTGGCACTCACCCTACTGGCAAATGTTTCTCATCTGTTTCAAATGATCTGTCCAGTGTGACCTTTTCTGCTTAAATAGCTTACACAATGAAAATACATGAATGTTAAATCCTGATCTTGCATAACTCTGAAAGGACAGCCATACATTTACCAGCAGCAAGGGACTTTTTCCCTGTCCTTTGCATAAAGTGAGAAGGAAACAGCCAGCACTGTGCAATTACAGTGAAGGGAGAACTCACCAATAACAGCTCCTCCCCACACCGAAAAAAAATTCACAGGGCGCTCAAGGCAACAGGGTGTGTACTACCCATTTCTTCTGCTTTTTGCTTTGGAAAGATGAAAAACAAGGGGCTCTTCACTTGGTCAGTGGTCTCCAACCACAGGCAAAGCCCCCAGGGCCTCCTGGGGCTGTTTCCCAACCAAGTGCCACTGCGGATCAGGACAGTGGTGGGTCACAGACTTCCCCGTTCCCCACCTCAGAGCTCCCCTTGGCATCCATCAGGATGAACTCATCTTCATAGTCCGAGTGCTCTTCCTTGCTCCCATCTCTGTTTTCAAAGCCGTGAGCTCACCCAGTGCGCAGCAGTTCTGGGAGGCAGCTGCTATAACTGGATGCGTGGCATCACTTTTTTTATCTTTCACAGAGCGAAAGGTGAAAAGGTTCTGAAATTTTGCTCGCGACTGCCTTGAAAGTTCAAAAAGTTTGAAAGTGCGGAGGATGGTTGTGGTCTTTCCATTGGCACCTACCTTCACAGATCTCCCTGGAGCTGAAGCCGAATAGCTCTGACGTGGTGGGAGCCTGCCTCAGCGCGTGTCTACCCACGTGCACGCCGCGAAAGGGAGAGGGTGCCTGGCAGGTGAAAGGGGGCCTGACCCTGCTCCACAGCATTCCCATTGACTCCAGCTGGGAAGCAATAACACATTTAGTCAGGCATCGATTCCAACAGCGATGCTGTAAGTCTTTTACAGGGGCTTGGAGGGAGGTTTTCTTCCAAATGAGAAATGGTCCTTCGGCTCCTGATGCTGTTTCTCACATTCTTAGTATGTCTGAACTGTTTCTCAGTACACCTGAATTTGGCCATGGGAAGATCCAGCCTCAGCCACAGCCCGCTGCTTGTCAGGGCATACGCACCACAGCTCCAGTCTGCAAAACATCCTTTGCCGTCCCTCCTGGAGGGGGGGTTGCTGCAACCAGCTTCCCTTGACTCATGCAAGTCAACACGGAGCTGACCCACCCATGTATTATCGGTCACCATGACCCTGGCTGATCCTTTAGCACAGCAAAAGGAAACCTTGAGAGGTTTGGTTTGTTTTTTTTTTTTTTTTTTCAGCAAGGTATATTCAGCACCAGAGCTCTTACCTGGGGCAAATCAGGTGTGGCTGAAGCACAGGCTCCTTGGGAAGGGTGCTTGAGGGTAGGGAGGGCTCACAGGGTGATGCAAGGGAGGAGGGATGAAGTAAGTGGTGACAGGCAAGGCTGTCACCAAATATCGGCCAGCTGCACTGGTGTGTCCAGCCCACAGGAGAGAAGAGAGGGGATGAATAATTTTTATGTATTTCCTGCAGAGCCCTGAGGGGCAGGAGCAGCTGGATTGGCTCCGGAGCCAGCGAGCTCGGGGGGGGGGGAGTGCTGCAGTGGGGCAAACTGGGGCTGGCCCCGGGGGACCACCGCCCAGACTGGTGTGGGTCAACAAGGTGCTGCGTGGAGCCGCAGGTCCCAGGTGCCGGGGATGGCTGGGCAGCCAGCTGCAGCCAGCTGCTATTTGGTTTTCCTTTTAATGAACCATTTAAACATTTCCGACATACCTTTGACCTACTTGAGCACAGTTACAGCAGTAATTAGCACCAGCACCTCATAAATCCCGACAATGTCCTCTCTGGTGCTAGCTTTAGCAAAGCCTCTGGTCATGTGGCGAGTGCCATAACATTGCAATGTGGCATCTGATCCCTGAAGAGAACAGATGGGTCTCTTAAACCCCCTCCAGATTTCTACAAAATGCTCTACAAAGAGCAGTCCTGGAGCCACTGAGGAGCTCAGCACTCTAGAGGCAGACAGGCTCCCGTGCAGTTAGAGGTCCAGGTAAGAGCACTTTGTTGGTTTTAAAACCTTCTGTGTAAGCCTTTGTTTATTTTTACTCGCCTTGTGAAACCATGTGAATATGTTAAAATTAACTGTACTGGAAATAGAAAAAAACTTCCTCCACTAACATTCATGAGCAGTCCTTGGACGCTGTTATTCACCAGCTGTGAGTTATAACTGCTGCTTTTCCCAGCTCTGTAAGCTGCCTCACCTTATCATTGCATCCTTGTACTGAATTATGAGACCTTTTCGAGACAGAGACTTATGCTTACAGCCAGGTTTGTACTGACACAAGTTTTATGTAGTGTTTGATACATTAAGAAGTAATTCTGGTCATTTCTTCTGATTTCTTCATACATTCTCATTTCAGAGTGAAAAATTACTGGTATTACTTATGTGATGGACTTAGGGGGACTTGATATTTATTTAAATTGACAATTAACTGTTAAACTTGTTGTGTATTTTTAATTGCTGCTATGTTTCTAGTTAGAATTTGTAGTTAATTTAAACTCCACCCTTTCTCCCACCCAACCTGTCTCCTCTGCCTCCCCTGAGCCACTTCTTCAAATGCTGGGGTTTTTGTTGGCCCCAACCTTTACATTTCCCAAGGTCCCTCTGACATGAAGCTCTGCCATTCATCAGTCCCCCAGGTTTGTATTGTCTCACCGTAGCCGTGGGTGCCGAGGTGTAAGCAGCCCTGAACAGGGTATGACCTTCGATAGCCAAGGCTGCGTGGGCAAAGTAAAGCAAGTTTGTCATCTGAAAGGAGCTAAGTGATGCATCGTGTGTTCGTGTAGATGTTGCCATGTTCTTACACAGGCAGAGCTCAAGCAGTCACCTCAAGCCTTCAGAAAGATTGATATCTATATATTTATATCTATATGTATACCTAATCTGTATGATCTCCCTCTCTCCTCCAATCTCTAGCTAATCTATACCTATACCCGTATCTATATTTAAAAATTAAAGAATACAGAGATATATCCCTTCTACCTGTAATCCACGTGCTTTTGGGCACAGGTGAAGCAGGATGGGCTGGCGTGCCCATAGGCAGAGGTTCTACCCACCTTCAGCATGAAATCTGAAGGAAGGAGAAGCCCCCCCTGGAAACTCTGCCCCTCTCTCCCTCTCAGTCCCCATCTTCCCTCCAGCGAACCTGCTCAGGAAGATAAATTTATCCCCTTCAAAAATTATCATGACAACTAAGGAGAATTCTTACAAGCAGTCCTACCATTTCTTTTTTGTTGGAGGGTGAATTAGAAAAGAAATTATCTCTCTGCATTTTTTTTTTTTTTTTAATTTTTAGCCACCAAATCCTGAAACAGGAAAGTCAAAAGCACTGGTGACAATTGTATAAGATGTGCCTGTTTATTGATTAAGCCAAGGCTCGGGCATTCTGTTTTGTTTTCGTTTTGGTTTTTGTTGTTTTTTTTAAATGAAAATGTCATCGGTCCAACACGCTTCCCACAGCAGGTAGGTCAGTCGGGTGGCTGCATCACTCTTTCCACAGAAGGCGTGCGGCAGACTGAAGTACAGGCTGACGTGCCTTCAGAGAATGTGCTTAGCTGGCCAGAAGCTATTTCAAATTAAGCCAAAGTCAACCATGTGTTGCTATCCCCAAAAGTTACAAATAAAAATCCTCTGGGAAATGATTAATCAGACTTGGTAAACGAGTAAAAAGGGACTTGATGTCAGTGCTCACCCTGCAGAGGGAATGCCAGGGCCCCGTCGGCGCGCTGAAGCCTTCCCACTCTGCTTTGTTCCCGCAGCTGCCGCTCGTCGGACGCCGCGTCCCTTCCCGCGGGAACCCCGGATGGCTCTCGGGCGGCTGTGCGTGCTCGCCGGGGCGCTGGCGTGGGGCTGCGCGGCCGCCGCCTCCTTCCACCCCGCAGGTAAAGCCCGGCGTGCCCCCCGTGCCGCCCCCCGGCCCGTGCTCCGCGCTAACTCGGACCCTTTACGGACCGGGTCCTTCAACCGAAGCTTTTCCTTGCGTGCGTGTTACAGCAAGCGGGTCGTTTGTAAACCTGCAATCCACTGCGTAAATATCTCGTGTGTTTAGTGGGTATTTGTCTGGGTCGATTCAAAAGGAGCAGAAACTGCCTTTGCTTGATGTTGTTTGGTGTAAAGTTTTCAAAGATAAATACCACTTGGATGCAGAAACGCTCCTGAAGCGCGGTCCCCGCGGGACAGACTGTGCTAGGTGTGAGAAACGCGGGGTTTATCCACAGGGCTAATTAATTGGAGAATAATACTTCCTCTAAAAAAATATTGCTCTGCAAGCTATCATCCACGGCAATGGCACTTCCGTCACCCTTTGCTTCAAGACCTCAGACATCTCTTTGCTGCATTGCACCCACCAGCCTTTTGGCCTCCAGTAGCTGGGACTTTGCACCCAAAAGCTTTCCTTCTTCAGAGGGATGGTCTGGCCCTCCCTGCCACAGCGGTGCATGGTGGAGAAGTGGAAATTTGGCCAGGAGGGCACTGAGAGGCTCCCGGTCCTGCCAGCCAGCACGCGTGGAAAGCTGCCAGCAAACGTGCTGCTGCCACCCCAGGCAAAGCACCGCTGCCTCCAAAAGGGGTTTCTCAAAACACAAAAGTTGCCTGCACCCCTCGGACCAGCACGGAGAAGGACACAGAAGACGTGGAGGAGGGGGGGGCACCGGGCAGGCTGCTGGTTTTCCACCGGCAAAATAGGTAGAAAATTGCAAAACCTCCCGCTGCTTGCAGCCCCTAAGGCACAGCACGGCGTGGGGTGAGGCCGTGGGAGGCACCCGGGGATGAGTGGGCGGTTCATCATCAAATCTGGGATGGGTAGGGGCATGTGCACGGCAGCCAGGGCCACAGCGCCCTGGGGGCTGCGGCCGATGAGCCAGCACCTTGCTACCTGGCTCCTCACCATGCAAAGCAGGTAGACAACTTGTTGGTTTTTTTTTTTTTTTTTTTTTTTTCAAGAAACATTCAGGAGCAGCTTTCCTTCAAGGCTGGATAACGAAATAGAGTATTTCTAGGCCTGGGTTCTGAGTGACTGGTGTGAGACCTGGTTTGTCATGTAATATCATGAGAATGAGAAACTGCAAGAGTCAGTGCTGGCATTTTAAAAACAATCAAATCCCAGAACGCAAGCCACATCCCCAAAAGAAGCTTTTCCATTCCCTCTGAAATCCAGTCAGGATATATTTTTCAAAAATTGCTGTTTACAGTCACAGTTGTTTTGAAAAATTTTTACTGTTTTGTTCAAGCTCAGGATGTAAACAAGTTTCAGAGTGCTCTCGTTTCCAGTCAGAAATTTTGACCAGTCGAATCCTCTCTTCACAGCTTATCACCAGGCTCATGACAAAGGCTAGTAGCTTTTTTGCTTCCTTGTTTGCACTTTTGCTTCCTTGTTTGCATAGCTGTGAGGCTCAGCATTTGTTCACTCAGGAGGAGCTTCCAGCTCTGCAGATCTCCTCGGCCAGCCCGTTACAGAAATTGCACGTGCCAGCCACCGTAACGGGGTTCCACTCTGAGCCACGCTACGCCGGTGATGTGGAAGAGCTCGTTTTTGTTGGTGCTGGTGGGCTCTCAGCCAGGGCTGGCAGGTGGGGGGGAACGCTCCTTTGCCTTCTCCCCGCTCCCTCCTCGACGTGGCTGTAAGTAGACTTTCTGGAGGACCCCCTCGTTAATTTGTTAGCAGCTGCGGCGCTTCAAGTGTTGCTCCTGCAGGCTGGCTGTCCCTCGTGCTGCTTTGCCCTTTCAAGGAGCCTTTGCGTGTTTGCAAAGACCCAGGAGGTGGGTGAGGTGCCCTCACCTCGCCCCTGCTCCTACCCCTGATGCTCACCAAGAGCCCAGATTGAGCACTCTTTGCCCAGGCAGAGCCTTCCGTGCCCCTGTTCCTGCTCCTCTGCCTGAGTGGGGAATAGAATAGTCTACTCTTCCTTGCCCCAGCTCCTTCCTAAATACATTGCCATGATACCCTACTTTGCCATTTAAGGTAACAACAAATCTCCCATGGAGCTTTACACGCTGGAAAAAGTGGGATCTTAAGACTGCTGCCTGTGGTGTGTTTCATTTGGGAGAGTTTTCCTTAGAAGAAATAAATCCTCCAACGATGTTCTCTGCAAACTTTCCAAGAAGGGCATAAAAGTTTAATTTATATCTCTCTCTTCCACTGAAAGATATTCTCAGGGCCCGTTCTCATGATGGATTAATTAAAAAAATAAGAGGAAAAAATTGTGTAAACTCTGATGAAGACATGCAAAAGGTGTCAGAGAAGCCAGCGACCTGGAGGCCAAACTCAGAGAAATGGTGGCGATGCTGGACAGACACTGCCAGGAGATGGGCTTCAAATCACGGTGAAAAAAAGGGCATTATGCAGTGAATATGAAACCCAAATGGATCACCTCACCTCTAGACAGTGGAGAAAAATCACCTCAAAAGTTACAGAAACTGATTTAATTACAGAAACTGATAAAACTGAATGGCCAAACAGCTTTCGTCATGTGAATGACAGCTGGGTTTTTAGGAATCATGTCTTAGTACAGAATTAATCCATAATATATGCTGATTTATTAACATATGGTGGCAACTTACAATATATATGTATACATTTATATTGTATACAATATATATATACAATGCAATACAATATATATACACACTATATATATACAATATATTTAAAATTATAAAAGCCAGATTAACTGTAAAAGCACATTTTTGTATATCTGATAGATGTCCAAAATGAGAACGATTTTAACTCTCTGCTTTTCTACTGCTATATGCTTTTTGTCTTGGCTTTTCATTAATTTTTAATATACTTGAAAGGAATATTTAAAGCAATGTGGGTGATTTGTTTCTGTTACGGCTAAGGAACATAAATTTCCCTGACAGCATGCAGTGATCTGTCATCCTATGCTGGTGTACCTGCTGAACACAATGTTTGCAAGGATGCTTGTCCTGACAGTGGGTAAATATCATGAGGTAAAAGCAAGCAAATAGAGGACTTGAAAGGTCATCCCAGGATGGTAGTTTTGCTTAAAACATCTTGAAAAAGAGTGTCAAAGATGTGGCATTCTTTGTGCCTTTTCAATGGCCATTGAGTGTTTTCTCTGAGCATCAGCAAAAACTGTTTTTTTGGGGGTCAGGCAGGAGTAAAGCCAGTGCATGCTGGTTGAGAACAGGCTATGAAATAGCCAGGGCTGGACCTGGACCAGCAGTACTTCCCTCCACATCCAGCAGCTGCATTTGTCGTCTCATCAAATTTCACAACTTTTTGTTTGTTTGTTTTCTTTACATCAACACTCTTTTTACACCCTGCTTCCTTTTCAATTTAGTTGCTCCTCCCCGAGACCTTCAGATCACTGATCCTGGACTCTTAGGTTCTCTCGATATAGAGTGGAAACCTCCACCCAACATACAAACCTTCAATGAATGCACAGTAAAATACAAGTTTGAATACCGCAACACTGGTGACAGAGACTGGAAGGTAAGATAAAGCGCTTTTTAATCCTCTTAAATCCAGGCTACTGTTCTGCCTTGAGTTCCTGCAGAGATTTATGTTTGCCTTGCATGGAGGAGTGGTACCAAAGCAGTTCCAGCTTTCCATGAAAAAGCCAGACCGTTCCAGTGGTTTGAATCTTTTGCCAGACATGAATGTGTTTTGAAATATAACAGCAGCAGCAGAGAAGGGGCTATTTCTGTCAGAGGGTGTGGTGCTTGCTGCCAAATAATATCTAGTAGCATTCCTCATTGTAAAAGGCACTACACTTTTTAAAAAATCTTTACAGGGCTTGAACTGAAACTCAGTGTCAACAGATCCTTAGGGATGCAAAGCGGTGAATAAAGAAAAGATTAAATTTCATTAACTATCCTAATGCTCTAGTATTCCACTTATCCAGCAGGCTATTTCTAATGACCGTTTACTTTTGTAATTTAGATAGGGTTGACTCTAACTCAGCTCTCTGATAACATTGTCAGTCTCCTCTCATTGATGTATAGCAGGGCAATATCAGACAGGGACAGTACAGGAAGGGTTGTAGGAATATATTTTGGGAGTGCTTGGAAGATGAAAGCTGCTGCGGGGTTAGGAAGGTAAATGGAGTGGGGAGAGGAGAAACCCAGCAACAGGCTGTTTGGTTGGTACAAGGAACACTTGAAAAATACGCTGAGGATGTCCCTCAACAACCGAATATACAGATTGCTGTCCTGCATGAAAAGGAGATATTTTTTTTTTTTGGACAATCCTAAAGTAGGAGTGCTAGAGAGCTTGCCAGCTGAAGAGACTGGGAAGAGAGAGGGGGAGTACTCACACTGGGTTAGCAGTGCCGTGGACCCCAGCCTCTTGCTGTGAGCTGCTCACCCGCCCCAGGCAGCAAAGCCACATCGCACAGGGGCCCGGCCGTGCCCCCCGGCGCCGGCCGAGGTGGAAGAGCACGCTGCCTCCCACCCTGATTCAGCGACGGATCGCAATTGCAAGGGCAGGGCAAGGGGCTCTGTGACCTGACGTGGGTCACCATGCGCGTCACGCTCCCAGCCGTGCAGCAGCATGCAACTGTGCGGATTCTTCTATAATGATTTTAGCTCGCATTTTAAAAAGCACAAAGGAAAAAAAAAAAATAAAAATTGCAGTTTAAAAAAAAAAAAAACCACACCAGAATTCCCTAACCAGAAGTAATAAAAGTATCTTAGATAAGACAGATCTAAAAAGTAGAAAAAAGATCACCACTGGTACCTTGCCAAAAGCTTTACCCCACATAAGGTCATGAGGAAGAGTCAGTCTGAAAAAATCCATGGGACATCAGCGGAAGCAAGAGTCATCGGTGTCTGTTAGAAACACATGGCTCAACACAGCAATTACACTCTGGGACTGCTGACAAACAGCCTGACTGGGGGCTGTGCCGCTGCAGCACACGTGTGCGATTTATGGCACGTTACTTCTGTCCTGCTTGGGCTAACGTGACTCTTTCTCTCTCTCATAATTTGTTGTAACTCTTGACAATTTATTTTTCCCTTGTGTCACATAAGGGGCAGTAAGTCCGGGAGAAAAAAAAAAAAAATTAAAGAAAAAGCAGCAAGCCTTGGGAGGTGGAGCTCAAAAAGTTCTTACAAAGAGCTAAGCCCAGCCGCATGTGTTGGCGAGCTTGCGCTGTGCTGCCTGGTTGCTGCTCCATCCTCGCAGGGTGTGGTTGTGCTTCCCATGGGAACCATCAGTTACAAGGCTCGTTGTTCCTTCTGTTTCTGATCATCTCACCTCACGAACAAGTGCCTTTTCTCTGGCTTTACTGCGGTATCCTTGTCAGACCGTCCCCAGTGCTCCTGGCTGGTGAGGATCCCTTGAACCAAAGTCTGCTCTGTCTTGTCGTTGCTGGTGTCCCGTGGGGTGGAAGGACTCAAAGCCAGCGAGGCTGGGCAGAGCAGGTGGTACAAGAGTGCTGGAGAAGCAATGGGCAGAAGGACAGAAATGTAAAGAAACCCCGAAGCACACGAATGAACCCACTCACAGCTAGAGTGGGAGCAATGGTAGTTAATTCTGCGGTCCACTTAGTGACAAAATTGGTGCTCATAAAGTCTGTCTTTCAACCAGGTTATTTTTACTAGGAAGCTAAAATCCAGGGTTGGATTTGACCTCAGCAGGACTGCTGAAGTGAAGGTACAGACATTGCTCGAAGGACGGTGTACCAATGACGCGGAGGTGCAAAGTGACTGGATTTATGCTACCTTTCAGGTTCCGCTGCAAGGTTAGGAGCAGCCTTTGGTACCTGGTGTGGTTTTTCCCTTTGCATGAGACTCTTGCATGAGCCGCTGCTGGCCTGAGGGTTGCTGGATGGAAGCGGTTGCAGGGCTTGTTGAGGTATAACACACCAGGGCATCTCTGCTTCCACTGGCTGTGGTTGTGGCTGCTGGATACCTGGGGCTCATTTCCCTCTGCCCACACCCCGGCTCTGCTGGGTTGCCCTGCATGAGCTCCACTGCTGAATGAACAGGTCAGTTATGTATCCTTCTGCTCTAAGTACAGTGAACTGGCTTTTATAGGAAACAGAGCACTTGGCAGCAAAACTTTCTAATAACAGTGACTGGCCTTCTTTTCTTTTCCTTTTTTGTCTTTCAACGGCAGCACACAATTGTTCAAAAGACATAAAATGATATTTTTGCTGGGCCCGACTGGTACGTTGCTAAAATAGTGGTTATTTCCTTCTCATTTGACAGGAAAACTGGAATCAGAGGTTCAGAATTTCCACTGCATCTATCATGACTGGGAATACCTCAAGTGCACTTGGCAACCAGGTCTCTTTGCTCCTCACGGCGTACATTATGGACTATACTATTGGTATGTATCAGCAAAATAGAAAAACATTCGGGCAGCAATCAAGTGAATCTCTCAGGGTACTAAAATGCCACAGCGAATATGCTTTTATGGCTGTCAGTGCTGTTACACAATGCACCCAGACTGAGCAGAAATAACGCTCCACGCAACATGTGCCCTCTGGCAATGAAATGTCAAATCCCTTCTTCCTTCCTTAAAATCAGGCTTGTGCTGGCCTTCTGCAGGGAGTGCCTTCTCCCTTCCTCCTTTCCCTTTTATTCACCTCTGTGGAGTGCTTTCTGCATGTTGGCCATTACAAAGCCTCATGCTTTCCCTTTGCTGAACACACCTGGATCATTCTGGCTGGACATTCCCCTTGATCACAGTGCATATATCTCTATAGGACAGGATTCAGCAGGAGGTTACCAGCCTCAGTGAATCCTATACAAACAGCAGGGCCTCTTGGCAACTAACAGTTTTAGTCTTCAAATATATTTTCATAGCCTTAGAACATCTCAAACAAGCAAACATCCAGCCAAAAGGTTAGTATTAATGTATGTTTCTAAATTGTTTCTTTTATACTGCTGCCTAATGATTCTATTCTGCAAGAAAAACAAAGCTAGACTTCACTGTTTTTTGACAAAGTAAATGTTGTATTTGTGCTTCAATTCCCATGACGCTATGGTAAGGATGACTAGTTAGGAAATCATGGACTTTCATGCCTTTGGGCTACGTGTAAAAAAACATAGCTGCTTTTTAAAAATAGTTTCCATGTAGCTCTTGGAAATAATCTTCAAAGCAGAAACATTGATTTAAAACCATTTTGCTAACTACAAAGGTCTGCTTGAAGGAAACCATGGAAATTCATGATTCGTTCCTAAAAAAACCCACAAAAAATCCCAACAAACCCACCCTTATTTAACTGCCTGTAACAAATCAGACATTTGGATCTGGGACCCACTGTATAATGAGAGCGGGTGGGAACACAGCCATGGCATCCTTTGATCCCCATGAGTTAATTTTTGTAGCACTACCACATGAAGATTTTCCCCCAAACATGATGTGCTGTTCAGGGAGGCTTTCATTAGGTGTAGAGTACAGAGGCCAGATTCAGCCCTGCCTCAAGAGCACTAACCCAGCAGGAGTCTTAAAAGGTAATACAAAAGACCACTTAGGATTTCCAGGATGGGGCCAGCAGCTAAACTTTGGGGAGTGGCCCCCAAAGACAGGAGGCAGTTTGAGAGGACAGCGTAGTGGTTGCACATTAGCTAATATGGTTATTAGAGAATATAATAGATAATAATATTAGTTAATATAATAGCTAATAATATTAGCTATGGGAGCAAAGCCCTTCCTCTCTCCCACCCCTGGGTTTCCATAAGGTGCCCCTGTAGATGCCCATATAGATGCATGGGACCCACCTGCAATCAGCTGTAGCAGCTCGTTAACACTCATTACATTGATGACACATGTCACCTGCCACAAACCACTGCATTCTGGCTTGGGAGAGGACCTTCCTACCGCTCCGGAGTTGGTGGCTGATGGTGCCATAGGTGCCTCAAGGGAGGATGGGTGTCTCCTTGAGTTTGGGCCAGATCCTGCCCTGGCTCCACTCACACAGTGGCACCTTGTGAGGCCTTTTGTGCTTCAGGAATGGACTTGGCGAGAGGCTGACGCAGTCTACAAACCAACCTGGGAAGCCATCTGTGCGTGTTAATTTGTTTTTTTTTTTCTCCTCCCCACACATTTCCCATAGGAGGAGTCTCGGTGACCAATGCATAACACTGTGCTTTGCATCACTTGCGAAAGGCAAAGGGTGGGTAGGATAAAGGTGATACTCGAGGCTTAGGTCCAGTCTTAAAAAAAAAAAAGCTTTACCCAAGTAGTAACTACCATTGCTTTGGTTATTTTTTTCTTTCTGTTTTCCTAATGCATCCCTAGGTACGAGGGGCTGGGCCACGCAGCGCAGTGTGATGACTATATTCAGGATCACGGTATAAACATCGGCTGCGTGTTGCAAAACCTGAGCCAGGCAGAATACAAGGATCTGAGCGTTTGTGTCAACGGGTCGGCGGCAGCCACTCTGCTGCAGCCGTTGTACGTCACCCTTCGCCTTCACAACCTAGGTAACGCTGGCAGGACAGCGGCAGGGCTCTGGGGACCCCCACGGCCACCGCGCACCCAAGGCTCACCCCAAACAAATGTCTGCTCTTGTAGATGGGTGGCTGCGACGTGTCTGTGTGGGTTTCCCCCCGGGGCAGGGGCTGTGGTGTGTGCCACACGGGACTTTAGTTTCCAGCAGTGTTTGCAGGGGAGGGACACCACTCAGCACGCACCCTGGGGGGGGTCAGTGCTTGCGCTCAGCAGCTGAACAACTTGGGACAGAAACGGTCTGCTGGGCAGATGGCAGAGCAGCTATGGGGTTTTTGGCTCTAGCAGCACCGCCACAGAGGTGGCTGCATTTGCTCCAGCTGGAACTGAAAACTCTGCTCTGCTCCGCTCCTGCAAGCACAGAAGAGATCTTTGGGCTTTGGTGTTCAAACCAAGCTAAGGGCTGGGGACAGTTAAGTGCAAGGTGTGATGGGGTCTGCCAGAGCCAAGGTGGTTTTCAAACCCATCAGAGACAGGGAAAGGAAGCAAATTACAGCATGATGTATAGCTCTGTACATGTACTCACTCTTTATTACGGGCACTTACCATGCTGATACATTTACCCACATGTGAATGGCAGGGGATAAAGAGCTAGTTCTCCAGTTAAGCCACCGGGCTAATAAACAGGATTTCTGGATGCAATTAGTGCTTCATGTGCAGCTCTGGGCATCCGACACAAACCAGAGCCTCTCCTGGGATGCAGCGAGCACCAGGCCAGCGCTGCTGGGGCCGAGGCTGCCCTCGCAGCGCTGGGAGGGCTGGCCGGCTGCGCTGCGAGGGAAACCTGCCCAGCACAGTTTCAGAACCCCCTTGCACCGCAGCCCAGGGCAGGGACCTAGCCCAGCCCACGTGTCAAGTCAAAATAACCAACCCACCCTCCGGCCTCAGTGGCATCCCGGTCCCGCAGCATCGCGGCTGGTAGCAACGGGGGGCTCAGAAATCCCACCAACAGGGAAAAGGGGCAGAGCCTGGCGGTGATTAACCGAAGCCTTTCCACCAGGAGCTGTTTGATTGCACCTCTTGACTTTCTTTCTCTCTTGTTGTTCCCTCCCCCCTCAAGCAAAGCCCTCGCCCCCGAGGCAGCTGGCGGTTTCCATGTCTGCAGCTGAGGAGCTCCTCGTGGCGTGGAGCCCACCGGGTGGCAAAACGCCGTCCCAGTGCCTGGAGTACGAGGTCCAGCTGGCAGAAGATCTGGGGGAGGCCGAGGCTGCCTGGGCGGTAGGGACAACACACACCGTGCTGCCGGGAGGGAAAGGGCAGGGGGAAGCCTGCGGGCTGGCCAGCAGCGGGGAGGCATGCTGGAAAACTGAGGTTCACACCGAGGTGCAGAGACCCCGTGCATGGAAAGCGCAGAGACATTAGCTGGTGCTGCTGGTGGAAAACGTTGACCAGCTGCTCCTTTGCACGTGTTCCTACTTAACATCCTGACCCACCACCGCAGCACTTGCTTTAGCAGTAACGGGTCCCAGCACGAGTCTCTGAGCGATCGCCTTCTCAGGCCTCCCGCCTGTTCTCTCAGAAAGCTGTCATCACGGAAATTTAAAGGTTGTCGTGGTTTGTTTTCCTGAATACGGTGGCACAATTTGGTCCAATGAAACTGTAATTCTAATCTCTCCAAGGAAGTGACCTGGGGGGCGACATGTCTTTTATGCATGGCGCTTTTTCCTCATGCGTTATCTAGGTGCAGTTTTGATAGCAAAAATGGCAAAAACTAATTAATCATAGGGAACATCTGATGGACAGCTTTTCTTAAATTGCCGTATTCTACATGAATCTTCTTAGCTAATTGAATGAAAGGTTCCATAAATTAATAGGCATAAAAGGCAACATATAGGATGGTGCCGCCCAGAATCTGTGCATTTTCAGTAGATTCATCTCCATAATCATCTTGCTGGCATTAGCTGGTCGAAAAACTATTATGAAATCATTTAAAACTGCCAAAAAATAATCCAAGGGTTTGCAGAGCCTGGAAAGTGTGTTCAGAAACATCAGGCCATGCCAGAGAGCTACTGGTGGTGGCATGTAATTCCTTCATATTTGTTCTTTCTGTTTTGTTTCTCAGTCTGTGTCAACCCAAATGGAGACCGCTTTAACAATTTCCAGAGCAAATCAAAGCCGCATTTCATGTGTTCGTGTCAGAGGGAGAACAAATATTTTCTGTGCTGACCAGGGCTTTTGGAGTGAATGGACAGAGGAGTGTTTCGCTGGTATGGAACCCAAAGTAACCAGTGTTTCTTGCACATCCTTTATAAAGCCTGTTTGGGACCAAGCACTGATGGATGCCATGGGCATCTGCTGGGGTCCAGCACTGGAGGTGGGATCCTGGTTTACTTACACCCTCAGCCTACTCCAGCACAGCCATTCTACAGCTTTGCATATGCAGTGCACTTAGCAGGCGAGCCCCAACATACCAACGCTTCTGCCCAGCACCTTTCCCCGCCGCACGGGGACAGCTGTGGTGGAGGAGCGACCACTTTGAGAAATAGGGCACGTGGTACTCGGAGTCTCTCTGCAGGGCATCGTCCTGGCTGCCCCACACCATGGATCAGGTCCTCGGCACCCCGTGGGCTCCAGAGGCCTGTCCACACATGCACTGGCTCTGCTGCAAGATGCAGAAGGCAGGGAAGAGCCACATAGAGGTGGCTACACGTATATGCAGGATATATGATACCCTGAAGGAGTACGCTACCCTATATGGTAACATATACCTGGCATATATCTGAAACAAACAAACAAATAAATAAATACATGTAGGGTAACAAACCTCAAACACCCTAAGTTTGCATCTAAGCCCAAGCTTTGAAAGAGGTAATATGACCCGTTCTGGAAGCTAGCGTTTTCTTATTTGCTGTCATTTATCTTTGCAGTGTCCAGAAAAGAAGTCAAGCAGCTGTTTATCCTCATTCCAGTCATTCTGAGTTTGTCAAGTAGCCTCATAATATTTATGTTGATTGGCCAGTGCAAGAAAAGGTAAGCACCAAGGCAGCCTGTCCATGCAATGTGCTTTTATGTGGGTGTGTGAGCCTACAGTTATAAATGAAACACCGTATTAAATACTAAAAGCCAAACATCAATAGATGCTCTAAGATTGGACGCTAAACAACAGTTTATTTGCAGGAAACAACCTTTTAAGTGTAGCTGTTTCTGATATGAAATGTCCCACAACAGCCCATAAACTCACAGCAGAGACCAAAATCCCGCTCATAAAAGCCCGGACTGCAGCTGTTAAATGCAGCAAAGTTACTTGCATGCCCAGCAGCATAAATAATGCTATTATCATGCCCCAAACTGCCCAGGCAGCAGAGATTTGTGCTGGTTGTGTTACAGAAGTGCCATTTTTATGGGCTACGGCCTCATTCTCTTTGTACTCCTGCTCCAGTTGTTTGCATTCGTGTCAATGACAGCACATGGGGAAAGCAGATGCAGTGGATGAATCCGCCCATATCCAAATTATTGATAGCGATGACATTTTCTTCAGGTCTGAAGGATCACTTAGAGAGGACTGATCCCCTGGTACTGATAACTCTTATCTTTTCCTTATGGCTATATAGTGTAAACAAGCGGATAGCTCTTCTAATATGCCTTTTAAAGCCTCACCGATGGAGGAGAGGTGGCTATAGAAATACCTTTGTGTTGTCCTCAGAGATGAACACCTATTTGGTAGCAGAACGCATGGAGTCTGAGACACGCACTCCTTCATCTTTGTTTTATACCCACCTTTCAAATGTTTTGGTTCATGGAATTTGAACAAAGTGTAGATGCTAGCAAGAAAACTGTGGAAAGCAAATACTTCCCACCTTGCTGCTGGGATGCAGGAATGTGTGGCAGGGATGCTGCAGCATGTCCCCAGCTGTCTCTCCGTGCTGGGAATAACAGTTTGTGCCCATTTCAGATCCCCAACAGGAAAGCCATTGTATGCATCAGTGGGATGCTGACTCTGCTTGCAACTGCTGTACTGCTTGTGTTTGATGGACTGCTCTTAGAACATCATCCCAAGGACAGCTGGGAAGCCCTGAGCTTTCCATAGCCCATGTGGGTCTTCCCTACCTGCTGCCATTTGCAAGGCTGGTTGTTGCAATTCAAGTTCTCAACGGGCCCAGGAAAACATTGGAGGAGTTTTAAACTGACTCTGGAGCAAGTTGTTTCTGATAACAGGACAAGGGAGAAAAAGGAGACAGTGGAAACTGCCATGAATAAAGGTAATGTGTTGCTCTGTGGGTTTGTTGGATTCTTTAAAGAGTTCTAGAAATCTGTCAACGTGACACACACTGAAAGGCAGCGCCTCACACACAATGCTAGGTACAAATGCCCGCATCTAGCTGCTGTATCCCACCTCGCTCTCACCACATCATCCTGGTCCCCAAATACTCAGCCTGCTCAGAGCATCTAAATTATGAATATGAGCTACTTGAGCTATTTATTTCAATAACTGGTAGGCCTTATCTGTTGCAAAGCTGAAGTGGGGAGGCCTTGAGAGAAACTTTTGCTGTGAAAAGGCATGATCACAGCTACTGCAAAGGACAGATGCTTCAGAGGAGAAGTGAGGGTTACCCTGGCAAAGGTGGGGTAGGAACATCTCCAGGAAGCAGGTGCTGGTACCAGAATTCAGTGAAGCACCCAAGATGTCTCTCAACACCATGTATTCAGCTAGTGAAACTGCTGACTGATTTTTAAGGAACCATTCCCTATGCTGATGGTAAAAAAAAATTTTAAAAATCAGCACTAGGTGAGACCCTGTCCTCCAAGCCCATTCTGGTTTTGTTTGTTTGTTTGTTGTTTTTTTTTTTTTTTTTTTTGTCAAAGAACTAACCAACTCAAATCCAGAGATCTAGTGTGCCTTAATTTCATCTGAACAACCCAAAAAACATGCTTTTTTGCATGATCATTTATTCAAAATGGGAATTTCTAGTGAACAGTGGAAGCTCAGAGAGAAAATCAAGTTTGCATCAATCAGCTATGTAAAGAGCCATGCTAATACAATCAGACATAAAACAACACAGCAAGTGCTGTCTTACACATCCAACTGCAAAATTATTCAATATCAGCTGCTTCCACTGCTAAATGGGCAAACACCCAATGTTTTTTGGGGAGCAACCAAAGGAGGAAAGCACCAGAAAAAAATGGTTTATGCACAGACTGGAGCAGAAATTAAGTTTCCTGGCTGTTATTCTGATGAGATACAACCTCTGCCTCTACTGTGTTCTGCGGTTTCTGGCCAGCCAGCATGGTATGGCTTTGTGTTTAAAAATATCCATGAGCATGAAATGGGCATTAAAAATTAGAATTGGAGAAGGGAGCTGGACTTGCAAGCCACTGACTGATCTAACAGAGAAGGGGAAATTAACCACGAGAGAGGGAAGGAAGCAGAAATAAATCTGGCTTGGCCCAGGAGCAGGCCCCAGCCTCAGCGCAGGGAGATCTGGCCCGCAGACATCTCCAAAACACGCTCATCAGAGCAATTCCAGGGACAGCACAGTCCGTACAGCAGGCCAGATGCAAGAGGCGCAGGACAGCTTTTCCTTCTCTCTGCAACACGAGAGATCAGCTCTTTGCTGGTGGGCCTCTGATGTTCTGCCAGCCTCTTAAGCAGTTTAAACACCGACTAAAAACACGAGAGCATTGCGAGCGTCCCCCAGGGGAAAAGCAAGGCAGGCAGCTAGAGCCCACCCTGCTGCCCCGGGTACATCTGATGCCATCTCACCATATTCACAATGCAGGGACACCAGGCATGGGCGTTCGGAGTGGGCCAAACGGTGCAGCAACCCCAACCTGCTGGATGGGTTTAGGTTTGGTTAAAGTTTCTAGTCTCATTTTGTCCAAAAAAAAGAAAAAGTAAGAAGGAAAGAGGAATTAAAGAGAATGGGGCACAGGTAAGAGGTGGCGAAGGAATGGATGTTGTGCCTCTGCAGCTAGAACTCCCCCCAAAAGGATCAGAGCTATTTCAGTAACCACAAAATATGAAAGTTAGGCTGAAGCCTGCCTAGAAACCTGCCTAGTAACAGAGTGATAAATTAAGTACATCTACTTATGGTATCTGTATGCTGCAGCTTTACAGGGGTGTTTATGTAAGGAAAGCCGGGCTCGGCCCTGGCACGGGGCTCCCTGCTCACCAAACTCACCCACTTGCAGCAGCGGCAAGACACCCTCACAGCATCACATCTGCAGCACGTGCAAAATTTAATCCTAATAGGTGGCCAGCTGCTAGTCCTTCCTAACATTCTGAACCTTGCTAGAATTCCAGTGGTGTGCTTTTTTTTTTTTCCTATGTTTATAGAATTACAGTAATTATGTATTTCTTTCACACAGTATTTGCATTACAGTGGTTTAATTAATTTGCTCTAGTTCGTAATTAATATTTTCAGTAAAGCGCTTTCAAAATCCCTTCTTTGGCATAATCTACTTTTACCGTTCCCTGCTCATGTCTGGGTTCCCCAGTGCTTTTACAATCTTAGCCCCACATGTCTGGTGAGGCATGTCTTTGCTAGCCAAACAAAGAGAACTCCTTTGAGTTTAGGGTCTTTTTTTCTGCCTTTGAATGATAAAGTCATAGAGCCATTTGCTGAAGAATAAAAAGCAACCTTTCCTACAGAGTTTTTTTTCCCTAGAGAACGTCAATACTTGTCAAACATATAAAAGCATGATCCTGTATGCTGCAGGGAAATACAAAATCAATTTGCATTTGTCACATTCTAACTGCTTTTGGGAAGTAGCAAAACAGGGAAGGCAAATGCCTAGGTCTCTGAACTCACAAAATCACCCTCCTTCTCTCCTTGAGAAGAGAGAATTTTCAAGCTGCCAACGAGAGAATAATTTCAAAACCAGTTTGCCTTCTGTTTCCTCATTATCCATCCTCATATTTTTTAATTTTTCTGACTGGCCTCTGAGTACAAGATTTTGAAGCACTTCAACCACTATAACCCGCTGATGACTGAACAACATAAAGCAAGGCTGACGCCTCTCAGGAGCTTTTTATTCCTCTTGCACTTGAGGAAATGAAAAGGTAGAAGTAGTGTCTCGCTGGCTGAGGCATCTCTGCTGAAGTTTTCCATCTCGTAGAGGCGCTAGAAGCTCGATGTCCACTGGGTGTCATCATCTATGCTTGGATGTAGAGGAGGAGGAAAGCAAGTGCAGCATCACTTCCGCCAGAATTCAGTATTTAGTGCATGAAAATTAAACAGAGGGGACAATGGCTCTCTCACTGTAAGACAGATGAGGCTTGTTCTTTTTGTACTGCTCAGTGCCAGGCTGACTGCCAGCCAGCCAGCATCACCCCTCGTGCCTCCATGGCGCCGTGACCATGGCCCAGGGCTGCTGTGCTGACCGGAGTTGCCTCTCTCATGGCATGTGCCAGCCAAAACCAGCCCCTGCCCCTGCCCTTCCTCCCACGCTCTCTCCACTGAGCACCCACAGAAACACCCCATCGGCTCAAACTGGTGGCTGGGCTGAGCGGGGACTGCGCCCCACTGTATGTCCCTGCCCCTGCAGCCCTGCACCGCCATGGGTGTCAGCACCCATCCCAGAGCCTCCGCAGGTCTCAGCACTCATCCCAGAGCCTCCGCAGGTCTCAGCACCCATCCCAGAGCCTCCGCAGGTCTCAGCACCCATCCCAGAGCCTCCGCAGGTCTCAGCACTCATCCCAGAGCCTCCGCAGGTCTCGGCACCCATCCCAGAGCCTCCGCAGGTCTCGGCACCCATCCCAGAGCCTCTGCAGGTCTCAGCACCCATCCCAGAGCCTCCGCAGCTCTAGGGAGAACCTACATCTTGAAAGGATGTAAAGCAGCACAGCCCTTCTGGCTTCAGCTTCCAGCTGTTGAGGCTTTGGGAGTGCAGTAACCAATGATACCATCTAAAATCTAAAGAGCTTCATGGGCCGTGGCAGGTTTGTAGCTCACTGCCTTGTGCGGCAGGGTACATCTGAGAGCACTGTCACGCTCTTTATGTAGAAGCTGAATTTTCTCAGGAGGGTCTGTGGTTCTCATAGCTTCAAGGCAAACATCTACAGCTGATGCATGTGCTTAACAAAACAATTTGAGACAGCATATTGTGGCTGAGCTCTCTGAACAGCTGAGACAGCTCTGCAAACAGTCTGTGTCAAGATCCTCTTCCCAGAGTACAGAGAGGTAAAACAACCAGATGAGAAATGATGGCCACCTCAAAACCACAATAACCAAGTACTGGCCTCCCTGCCACCCTGGGCTACTTGGTTCCTGTACCAGATCCCCGTCCAGATGTATCACAGGACTGCTCTGCTCAGGAAATAAAACACCATTTCAGGAAGTCTTACCCCACCAGACACATTAAAAAAAAAACAAAAACAAAAACACCCCTCCCCCCCCCAAAAAAAAACCCAAACCAAACCAAACCAAAACAAACCCAAACCAAAAAAAAACCCTAATTAAAAAACCCCTAAACATGGCCTTGAGATTTCCTTTTCTGATGGCTCTGCCCAGGAAGCAGTCTCAGTGTTTAAGCAGGTCTCACTCCACAGAGAGCTGGGTGCAGGTGCTCCCTTAAGCACGGAGGCCTGGCCAGTGTGGTGGCAGCCCTTCGAGGGTGCTCACACTCATCCCCGACAGCAAGGCGAGCCCGGACAGCACCTCTGCCTTCTCCAAGATACTGGATTAGGCTGCATTGCCCTGCCTTTGCTGGAAGGTGTGAAAGGTAGCCCCAGGTTCCTGCAGCTGCAGTGGGGGGATTTGAGCCATGGTCATCTATGATCATCCACAAACTATGTTCTTTCTTTCCTTGCCTGGGAAGCTGTGAATGGAGGTGTAAAGTCATGTCACAGCTTTGGTGTGCTTGGATGTCCCACCTCACCAAAGCACCAGGAACCTGTAGGAGTCACTTTCTTTTAGGAAAAAAAAAAAAAAAAGTAAAAAATAACAGGGATTTTTACAAACCAGGGAACACCTTCCTTTAATAGAATTCACTTATCTAGGTATCTTTGTGATTTAAAAACAAAGTGTGGCAGAATGTACTTCATTGGAATTCACACAGTGATGGAGAAAACATACATACCAAACAGAAACATGATGTTCTTTGGAGAAGAAGCTCTATATTTCAAGCTAAAATCTGTAAACACATCAGTCCCTAACCACCCAGGCACAGGGTCAGGCTCTGAGCAGTGTAGAAGTATTTCTCTGCTCACATGTGGAAATAAAGCTTTTACTGGAACGTATGCCAGATAAACCGAAGATGCTAAGTGCCCCGTGTGA